TACACACACGCTAAATTTTACAAGAGTCACTTAGTAATGTCAAGACAGGACTTGAGTAAAAGGTTCAAAAACTAAAAGGTAGTAATTCTTTAATTTAAAAGAAACCCAATATAATTATAATTATAATAATAAAAATAATAATAACTATAATAATAATTAATACATAAAAATAATATAATACAATATAAATATGGTAGCTCGTTAACATTATTATGCATGTAACAAAAATTTTATTCCTTGAAAAATTTACTTTGTAAAACAACATCGATTTTAGGCCTACTTACAGGATTGGTCATCCAATTAATTAAGCCACTGGTAATTTCGTTATTTATATCTGATTTAATTTTTTCTTTCATATTTCCCATCATTATTACATCCAATTCTTCTTTGGAAGTATATAAAGGGTGCTTGGTAAGCAGGAAATACAACAAACAACCTAATGAGTAGATATCGTGTAAATAATTTGCTTTAACTTTTGAATTACTGTCACCATCTAATAGTAGTTCTGGTGCTGTAAATCCCAAAGTAAATGGCATATTATTATTATTTGTTGTAGTTGTTGTTGATGATGATGATGATGGTGATGATGATGATGATGTTGATGGATGATAAATAAATGATGCATGCTTTCGAGAGAACTCACAATCACACAATCTAACACTCCAGGGTTTATTATTATCATTTTTACAAATTATATTGGAGGGGTTTATATCCATGTGCTTAATTTTATAAATCAAAAAAAAAATCAACAAAAAATAATGTAATAAATAAATAATTCATGTAATCAATTAATAAATAATAAATACTTACAACAATTTCATTTTGATGTAAAAAGTCTACACATTTACAAACATTAAAAAATAAATGTTTAATATCTTGCAGATTTTTAAATCTGTCAACAATCATATCCAAACTATTGCCCATGTATGATGTGACTACATAATATTCTTTTTGATGATTCATCTCCTGGCATTTGACAAGATATTCAAAATAATTTTCTATATTCATTAATTTTTTAAACATCTTGACTTCATTCTGCCACCAGATTTGATCAGAAAAAATCTTAATAATGACAATATCATTAGTCTTCTTGATATTCTCACCAAAAAAGATTTTATTTCTCTGATTAAA